CACACACACACACACTGCTAGCAAATGTGTAAAAGGGAGGGAATGTTAGGCTTATGCATCGTCTGAGATCTGATTGAAGGTCCGTTTTAAGCAGGGGGTGGGATGGATCCTAGATACGCCAGGGAGTCTGTCCCCATAGAAAGGCCAGGGACCCTCTGATCTTCCTTTCATTAACATACGATGCTTCTAAGTGTCTAACATTTGTTATGGCACACAGTATTCACATCTAGTTTACAACTGAGAATGAGATCTGCCAGCACAGTACAGACCGGGTTCATTAGAGTAAACATAACTTCCCCCAGCCCCCTCAACATTACAATGGGGGGGGGGATTCGGTAGGATTTTTAACCAAGTAAAAAGCACTTATAATGTAAGCAGCAATTCATTAAAAAGTTCTGCAATTTGAATGGGAACATATAACAAATATAAAGTAGGTGCTATACCAATGTGGTTTCAAAGGTGGATATACTCTTCAAAACCTCTGTCAATTTTTTTTTATTGCGTTGTGTAGCCCACAATGGGGAGCTTTCTCGTCAGTTCCTGTCCCTGTGACAAGTCAGCAGGACAGAAAGTAAGTAAGTGGAATCTCCAAGAGGGTCATACACAGCAATAAAAACATTTTTTATTTTTTTTTGAGTAGAGTAGGGAAAGGCTTGAGTCCCATCAGTTTATGTTGCTGCCTGTGTCCCGCTATAGAATTTTCCTCCTGTCAGATTGACAACATTGTCACCGTGACTTGGGGGTGAGGATAAATCTCTCCTACCAGGCCTCAGACCAGAATAAAAATCACGACGCAGGTTGTAACCTTCCTCTGCTCTGCCTGGAACTATGTTTGGGCTAGAATTACACTATAGTCTTCCAGTTTCTGCATGTTAGGGCTGCCGTAGTCATTGGGGACATGCTGACACATTTAGGCTGCCTGGTCACTAAACGTGAGACAGGTTGTGTGACAGTTGTGTGGCTGTTTATGTTCAGCCTGTGAAGAGAAGCAGGAGGGGCATATTGCAGATCCCTCCAGTGCCAGCTTATTTGGGGGACAATAGTGATAGAACAAGAGTTTCCACCATGTGCAGGTGCTTTGGCCACCAACTGCGTCTGCTTGTGACTCACGGAGGTTAAAATGTCTCTCGATTTGAAGCATTTGCACCAACAGGTTTTATTGGCTAGACTAGTAAACT